CACCTTCCCGTCTGGCAATGGGGAATGGACTCTCGGACCAGACGCCGATCCTTTCCAGCCTACCTTCGTTCCAGAGTTTCCATATCGTCATCTTGGGACTCGACTCCGCTGGGAAGACGACAGTGCTATACAGACTGCAGTTCAATGAGTTCGTCAACACTGTCCCCACGAAAGGATTTAACACGGAGAAAATCAAAGTGACGCTGGGCAACTCGAAAACGGTCACTTTCCACTTCTGGGATGTAGGCGGGCAGGAGAAGCTGAGGCCGCTGTGGAAGTCGTACACGAGGTGCACCGATGGCATTGTGTTTGTGGTGGACTCCGTCGATGTTGAGAGAATGGAGGAAGCTAAAACAGAACTTCATAAGATCACTAGGATATCCGAAAATCAAGGAGTGCCTGTCCTTATCATTGCTAACAAGCAGGACTTGAGGAACTCTCTCTCCCTTTCTGAAATCGAGAAGATGTTAGCGATGAGCGAGCTGAGTTCTTCAACACCCTGGCATTTGCAGCCTACCTGTGCAATCATTGGAGATGGACTCAAAGAGGGACTGGAGAAGCTACATGACATGATAATTAAGCGAAGGAAAATGCTGAGGCAACAGAAAAAGAAGAGATGAGTTCTATTTTGACCTTCCTATTTTAGAGTAGTAACATGGTCAAAATTTGACAGGAGACAGCTTCCAAACCCAGGCCTGCTTGTTTGGATGCCATTAAGCTTAGTTACATTAAACAATCAGTTGCACAGCCTCGCCGTGTGGAGGGCTGTGCTGTCATGGAACTTTTGTTGGTTTGGGTTTTCTTTAGTTTTGTGTTTTTCACTCTAGTCTCTTCTGAGTTTTATGGCTCTGCATTATTTCAGAAGCCCTAATAGATGATGTAATACTATCAGGAAATGGATGGGTGGGTATATGTGACATGGATGTCTAAATAGCCAAATAAAATGAGGGTTTTCTGCTTAGTGTTGTATACATGTTTGAGGGTGCCCTCTGCAAGCAATTTGCATTGAAGGTGTTCTGTGTTTTTAAACTTCTAATGCTCGTAAGTGGAGTGTTTAGGTGAACATTATACAGCTTTAAAAACATGTATGAAGCTAGTAAGCCATTCTTTTGAGAGGCTGTTTTTTACCTTGTTTGGGGATTTCTATGAAAGCTTGGCTACATGTGTAGGGTTGTGTTTTGATTTTGATTTTTTTTTTTTTTTAAATTTGGCACTTTTTGAAGTTGAATCATGTTCAGTTCAAATACTTGAAATTTAAGTGCTGTGGATTCTTCAACTGATAAAAGAAAGACTTTCTGACAAGTAAAAAATGTAAACATGCTGGAGCATGATGAAGTGGTTTCCCAACATATAGCATGTTTTTGGTATGTAAGGTCTTTATTTTTCAGAAGTAGCCATTCTTCATTACACAGTGCTAATCAGGTTTAAACTGTTACTCAAAGTTAGTAATATATTTCTGAATGATGAGTATTATGTCCTCCTCCTATCAAGTTAAAAGTAAATTAATTGCAGTAAAGGAGGTATAAAGAACAACTCTGGCTGTTGTGGTTCTAACCAGCGCAGCATTCTTTGCTCTACTAGCGACTTTTCTGGCAATGAAACAAAATTATAATGAAGTAAAGATGAAGTTAAAATTAGCAGAGCACATCTTGTATTTCCCTGAAATACCCCATTTGATTAAAGTGGTAATTGCTATGTCACTTTCAACGTATGCTTTTTTTATCGTGACTCTTAAAGTATTTTGTGGTTAGGAATGTAATAATGCTTTATACACTCAAACATTTGACACTACCGGGGGTGGGGGGAGGGAGGGAGTGAGGGAAGAAGATTTTCAAGATAGGCCTGTGTTCTGCTTTAATTATGCTTTAAGCTGTTCTTGTTTACAGAGTGTGCAAACAGTGTTAACTGGGCAGGATAGTGCTTGATGGAAAAGGGAGGGTAGTTTTTCTTACTGGTACAGAGCTCTTTAGATACTTGGCTAGCAATTAAAAGGGCTAAAACAGAGCCTGGATTTTTAAGACTAATTTTAGTGGTGCTGTAAAAATTCATCAGAATGTTAGATTCTCTTTAAACTTTTGTTGGAAATATCAGATGGAAAAAAAATAGTAAAAACAAAAAAGCAAAATCTACTTCCTCCTCTTACTCAATCAGCAAAGTAATATGTTTTTCTTACCTGCTGCCGTGTATCAGGAGGATGACAGCTACAACCCTGAATGTCAATCAGTGTACCTTAGATATGTTTTAAAATAAAAATCAAACTTTTTAACCAGCAGCTGTTGGTCCAGGAGGTAACCAAAAATGCACTTTAGTGTCTTCAATAACTGAAAGTGACAGCTGTTTTTGTTTTAGGTTTTTTTGGGGTTTTTTTTCGGGTTGCTTTTTTTTTTTTTTTTTTTTTTTTTTTTTAAATGACATCTTGGTCCTTTTTGAATAAACTGAAGTAGCTTCCAGTGGAGCTTTTGTATGTTGGTTATATATGTACCTGCACTGGTGACATTGTAAGTCACTTACTCGAGTAATGTCTATATTTATAGAAATGTGGATGACTTCTTAAACCTCAATAAACAATTCAAAACAAGCCTGCAGAGAGAAGGTGTCTGACTTCCTGTACTGCAGCAGTATGTTCCCATCTACCACTATGCACGGGCTGATTCCAGTAACAGTAGAACTATTCCTGTTGAAAACCAGTCTTGTAAGTGTGGTGAGGCTCATAAGCATTAGGGTATGATAAATTGCAGGTATCTCATTATAAACTTTAAATCAGTGCCATATCTATGTATTCGCAGAAGAAATTAACCACAGTGACTCCTTTCTCAAGTGATGGATCTTGCTTAATTTGAAAAATCTTTCATACAGCTGAACATACTTTGTATGCAATGTTGGGCATTTAGCACATGTATTCACATGTGGTGCTTACTTTAGTATCTTCAGGCTCCTGTAGCTGAAGCTGTCTGAGGGATTCATATGTACTTAAGCCTTGGATAAATTTCCTCCTTGGATTCTATGGCAGTGAGTAGAATGTGACAAGAGACATGGAAGCTTCTAATTAGTTTCAGGACCTGAATGTAGACAAGACAAGCTTCATTCAGCCTGCAAGCCAAAATTGCTGAGTTTGAACATGAATATCCAAAACTATCTCTGAAAACCCAGATTTTTAAATTTCTATTTATGTAACTTGCGGCACATCAAAATGCAGGTTACTAACAGTCGGTCTTGAGAAAAAGCTGCATTAGTGATGCTGAGCCCTATGAATTTGGTATAATCTGGCTAACATTTTCCTTCTTGTTGGGTGCACAGGACTGCTAGCCTGAGGAAGGTGAGGTGGCAGTCTGGCTCTTTGTACCCAGTAAACAAACTATAATACCAAATAATAACTTCATTTTGAGTATTCAACAGACTTCTGCTGGGAATAGTTAAAAAGGCATCCTGCTTGAAAAAGTCAGTTGTGTTTTGTGATGCATATTACCCATGCTGGTGTATATCTGGTGACAGGCTCCCTAAACTCGTCTACGTATAAAAACTTCAGCTGAATGATTTCTAAATACATAGTCTTGACTGGTCTGTACTCTATCACTCTGGAGGAAGAAGTGAGATAAGGTGGAGAGCAGTGTTTCTAAAATGCCATGGTGGTTATCACGTTTGACACTGACTTGGAAATAGAAAACTTTTGAGTGGAGGATAAGTTTTATGCCAAGCTATACCTTTATCTGTACTAGAACTGTTTTGCTGGAATATTACAGTAACTGTTCTGAGTAAAATACACAAATGTAGCAGTACCTCTAAAACAATGTTCTGTATTACTATGATGAAGTCTTCAAGTATTAGCAAAATCGTGACTGCAGTAGAGCAGTTGGTATATTGGCTGATCAAGTTTCTCCTGGCGTAGTTCTGTCAGCCTGGGATCACTTTTTTCCATATGATGAATTGACAGATTCTGGCCTAAATACTGGTATGTGTAAGAAAATCTTCAGAGGAGCTGAATAAGCAGGTGTAATTTTGTTACAATGCTGGAGTTACACAACTTACATTTTAAAACATGTTTTGCTAGAATGGGTACAAATGATGCTCTATTTCGGAGCACTCAGTAAGTTATTAAACTGCTTCTGCTTGAAGGAGGTACAGAATTGCATTTAAATCGGTGCAGCACTGTTGGACAAACCACAAGGTCTTGTAACCTTATCACTGTTGTCTTAGCTTACAAAAGTCGGTATGGCGTTGCCTCAGCTGTTCATGCACATGCAATCGTTTAAGGTTAGCCAGCCTTCAGAATCTCATCTCTGTTTCCTGGCTGCGTAGTTGTGTGCTAGCTTATTGACCATTTCAGCTAGAAAAAGTACTGTAGGATGGTGAGACTCCTTCAGGTTCTCGGCATCAGTTTCAAGTTGTGTTGCACTGAATGTGCATTTACATTTGAAAAAGAAAAACCACCCCAATCCTGGTTTTCAGACAGGTGATAGGTGAAGCCTTTCTTTCTTCAAATTTTCATGTTTCATTGAGACACAATTGATCCTTTCTGTGGAAAGCAGTACACTGCAAGTCCACAGTTCCCAGCCTGACTTAGGTGCTTCTGTACCACCTTGCACAGCACTTTGGTCCTGCAGGAGTTGATTACCTGGGACCCAGTGATCAGCAAGGAGCTGAAAGCAGGCTGGTGAGGTGGTGGCGGCTAGCCAAGCCAGGCCCTGGACCCCAATAGATCTGCCTTCTGGGGAAGGGGTTATCTACATCTTGGATCACTTGTTTACAAATAGCAGGGTGCTAATTGGTGCCTGGGTGAAACTTTTTGTGAGAGCTGAGTGTCATTCTTGGCATCTGAGGAGGATTTAGATACTGGATTGATGTTAAGAGAGAAGGAGTTGGTAAGGCAGAGTGTGGCAAGCGTAGGCAATCTGCATATGCTGTGCAGGCACTCACCTTAGTATGCAGTATTGATTCAGATGTGCAGATTGCAATGCATGAAGGCTAGCAAACACGTGCTTATAATGCTGCCTTCACCTCTTCGGGGAGAGAAAACTAGGCATGAATCAGTCTTTTTCAGTGTTTGTACTTTACTGGGGGGCAATTAGTCTTTTGAGAGAGTCACAGCTTACAGCCCCACTATAGCCATACAGCTTTGTGTCCCTGAGCCAGAACAATGCTTGTTGCTGCTGGAAGAGATGTGTAGGGAGCTGTGAATGGGCATCATCTCCTGTTTATTTAGTCTGAGGGATGACAAAGGCATTTTATTATTTTTTTAATCCTGACTGACACAGGTATGTGAAGGCCTCCCCCCCGCTCATGCTGCTCTGCAGGCTGTCATTATTTTTAGGAGCAGGATAAGACTGCAGAGCTTTGTGGATAAACTCTTGCATGTGTTTTCAAACTGAGGGGAAGTACACAGCCTGACTTGGCAGCAGGCTGATGCCTAGGGTTGTCCTATGGACTCCCAAAGACATCCTAACTATACAAGAACAAAATGAAGAGCTGATACATAGCTAGTACCTTGCCCTTCTGTAAAGCATTAGTCAGTCATCTTAAACCAGCTGTAAAGAAGCAAAATTACAGTTTCAAAGACCTAGCTGAAAAGAATCCCAAGAAGCAAATTAAGGACTTGTGTTTCCTCCTTGGCAGTGTCCTGTTTTATTAGGGCTGGCTGTGAGTGATCTGAGGCATGAGTGGTGAGGCACCTGGGCAATGCTGCTGGCTTGCCGTGGGGCCTGGCAAAGGGCACAGTCACCAAATACATACTGATTTTATTCAAAGGCAAACCCAAAATCTAAGGATAAAAAGTAAGCAGGGAGGCCAGACAGTGCTTGCAGACTGAATACCTGTTTGCAAACAGCTCAGGAAAATAAAAGATGATAATCCCTGAGCTGTGAAGATTATGACTTCTTAGTTCTTGCTGTATTTACACAGCTGCTCCACCAGAATTAAGAGCTAAACATGACAGAAT